GACTTCCTCACGCTGAATACAAGGTACCTCACACTGAGGACAAGGTACCGGACACTGAGGACAAGGTACCTGACACTGAGGACAAGGTACCTCACACTGAGGACAAGGTACCTCACACTGAGGACAAGGTACCTCACACTGAGGACAAGGTACCTCACACTAAGGAAAAGATTCCATACGCTGACGACAAGGTTCCTCAAGCTGAGGACAAGGTACCTCACACTGAGGACAAGGTACCTCACACTAAGGAAAAGGTTCCTCACGCTGAGGACAAGGTACCTCACACTGAGGACAAGGTTCCTCACACTGAGGACAAGGTTCCTCACGCTGAGGACAAGGTTCCTCACACTGAGGACAAGGTTCCTCACACTGAGGACAAGGTTCCTCACACTGAAGACAAAGGTTCCTCACGCTGAGGACAAGGTTCCTCACGCTGAGGACAAGGTTCCTCACGCTGAGGACAAGGTTCCTCACGCTGAGGACAAGGTTCCTCACTGATGAGGACAAGGTTCCTCACGCTGAGGACAAGGTTCCTCACGCTGAGGACAAAGTACCTCACACTGAGGACAAGGTTCCTCACGCTGAAGAGAAGGTTCGTCACGCTGAGGACAAGGTTCCTCATGCTGAGGACAAGGTTCCTCACGCTGAGGACAAGGTACCTCACACTGAGGACAAGGTACCTCACACTAAGGAAAAGATTCCTCACGCTGAGGATAAGGTTCCTCACTCTGAGGACAAGGTTCCTCACGCTGAGGACAAGGTTCTTCACGCTGAGGACAAGGTACCGCACACTAAGCAAAAGGTTCCTCACGCTGAGGACAAGGTACCTCACACTGAGGACAAGGTTCCTCACACTGAGGACAAGGTTCCTCACACTGAGGACAAGGTTCCTCACGCTGAGGACAAGGTACCTCACACTGAGGACAAGGTACCTCACACTGAGGACAATTCCTCAAGTCTGAGGACAAGGATCCTCACGCTGAGGACAAGGTTCCTCATGCTGAGAACAAGGTTCCTCACGCTGAGGACTAGGTACCTCACACTAAGGAAAAGGTTCCATACGCTGAGGACAAGGTTCCTCAAGCTGAGGACAAGGTACCTCACACTGAGGACAAGGTTCCTCACACTGAGGACAAGGCTCCTCACTCTGAGGACAAGGTTCCTCACGCTGAGGACAAGCTTCCTCATGATGAGGACACGGTTACTTATGCTGAGGACAAGGTTCCTCACGCTGACGACGAGGTTCCTCACGCTGAGGACAAGGTTCCTCACGCTGAGGACAAGGTACTTCACACTAAGGAAAAGGTTCCTCACGCTGAGGACAAGGTACCTCACACGGAGGACAAGGTTCCTCACACTGAGCAAGGTTCCTCATGCTGACGACAAGGTTCCTCACGCTGAGGACAAGGTACCTCACACTAAGGACAAGGTACCTCACACTGAGGACAAGGTTCCTCACGCTGAGGACAAGGTTCCTCATGGTGAGGACAAGATTCCTCACGCTGAGGACAAGGTTCCTCATGTGACGACAAGATTCCTCACGCTGAGGACAAGGTACCTCACACTGATGACAAGGTACCTCACACTATGGAAAAGGTTCCATACGCGGAGGACAAGGTTCCTGAAGCTGAGGACAAGGTACCTCACGACAAGGTACCTCACACTGAGGACAAGGTTCCTCACGTTGAGGACAAGGGACCTCACACTGAGGACACGGTTCCTCACGCTGAGGACAAGGTACCTCACACTAAGGAAAAGGTTCCATACGCTGAGGACAAGAATCCACAAGCTGAGGGCAAGGTACCTCACACTGAGGAGAAGGTACCTCACACTGAGGACAAGGTTCCTCACGCCGACGACAATGTTGTTCACGCTGAGGACAAGGTTCCTCATGGTGAGGACTAGATTCCTCACGCTGAGGACAACGTACCTCACGTTCCATACGCTGAGGACAAGAATCCACAAGCTGAGGGCAAGGTACCTCACACTGAGGAGAAGGTACCTCACACTGAGGACAAGGTTCCTCACGCCGACGACAATGTTGTTCACGCTGAGGACAAGGTATCTCACACAGAGGAGAAGGTACCTCTCACTGAGGACAAGGTTCCTCACCCTGAGGACAAGGTTCCTCAAGCTGAGGACAAGGTTCCTCATGCTGAGGACAAGGTTCCTCACGCTGAGGACAAGGTACCTCACACTGAGGACAAGGTTCTTCACCCTGAGGACAAGGTTCCTCATGATGAGGACACGGTTACTTATGCTGAGGACAATGTTCTTCACGCTGACGACAAGGTTCCTCACACTGAGGACAAGGTACCTCACACTAAGGAAAAGGTTCCTCAAGCTGAAGAGAAGGTACCTCCCATACGCTGAGGACAAGGTTCCTCAAGCTGAGACAAGGTACCTCACACTGAGGAGAAGGTGCCTCACACTGAGGACAAGGTTCATCTCGCTGACGACAAGGTTCCTCACAATGAGGACAAGGTACCTCACCCTGGGGACAAGGTTCCTCACCTGAGGACAACGTTCCTCACGCTGAGGACAAGGTTCCTCACCCTGACGACAAGGTCCATCAAGCTGAGGACCAGGTTCCTCACGCTGACGACAAGGTACCTCACACTGAGGAGAAGGTACCTCACACTGAGGACAAGGTTCCTCATGGTGAGGACAAGATTTCCTCACGCTGAGGACAAGTATTCTCATGCTGAGGAAAAGGTTCCTCACACTGAGGACAAGGTACCTCACACTGAGGACAAGTTCCTCACCCAAGGTTCCTCGGTTCCTCACGCTGCGGCCAAGGTTCCTCACGCTGAGGACAAGGTTCCTCATGCTGAGGACAAGGTTCCTCACGCTGAGGACAAAGGTTCCTCACGCTGAGGACAAGGTACCTCACACTGAGGACAAGGTCCCTGAGGACAAGGTTCCTCATCTCACACTGAAGACAAGGTTCCTCACGCTGAGGACAAGGTACCTCACACTGAGGTCAAGGTACCTCACACTGAGGACAAGGTTCCTCAAGCTGAAGACAAGGTTCCACATGCTGAGGAGAAGGTTCCTCACGCTGAGGACAAGGTACCTCACACTGAGGACAAGATACCTCACACTGAAGACAAGGCTCCTGAGGACAAGGTTCCTCACACTCAGGACAAGGTTCCTCACTCTGAGGACAAGGTACCTCACACTGAGGTCAAGGTTCCTCGCACTGAGGACAAGATTCTTCACGCTGAGGACAAAGTTCCTCATGCTGAGGACAAGGTACCTCACACTGAGGACAATGTACCTCACACTAAGGAAAAGGTTCCATACGCTGAGGACAAGGTTCCTCAAGCTGAGGACAAGGTACCTCACACTGAGGACAAGGTTCGTCACGCTGATGACAAGGTTCCTCACGCTGAGGACAAGTATCCTCATGCTGAGGACAAGGTTCCTCACGCTGAGGACAAGGTACCTCACACTGAGGACAAGGTTCCTCAGCACTGAGGACAAGGTTCCTAACGCTGAGGACAAGGTTCCTGACGCTGAGGACAAGATTCCTCGCGCTGAGGACAAGGGTCTTCACGCTGAAGACAAGGTACCTCACACTGAGGACAAGGTTCCTCATGCTGAGGACAACGTTGAGGACAAGGTTCCTCACGCTGAGAACAAGGTACCTCAAACTGATGTCAGGGTACCTCACACTGAGGAAAAGGTTCCTCCAGCTGAAGACAAGGTTCCTGAAGCTGAGGACAAGGTTCCTCATGTGAGGACAAGATTCCTCACGCTGAGGACAAGGTACCTCACGCTGAGGACAAGGTACCTCACACTGAGGACAAGGTAGCTCACACTAAGGAAAAGATTCCATACGCTGAGGACAAGGTTCCTCAAGCTGAGGACAAGGTTCAACCTCACATTGAGGACAAGGTACCTCACACTGAGGACAAGGTACCTCAACGCTGAGGACAAGGTTCCTACACGCTGAGGACAAGGTTCCTCACGCTGAGGACAAGGTTCCTCACGCTGAGGACAAGGTTCCTCGCGCTGAGGACAAGGTACCTCACGCTGAGGACAAGGTACCTCACGCTGAGGACAAGGTACCTCACGCGGAGGACAAGGTACCTCACAATAAGGAAAAGGTTCCTCACGCTGAGGACAAGGTACCTCACACTGAGGACAAGGTTCCTCACACTGACGACAAGGTTCCTCACGCTGAGGACAAGGTACCTCACACTGAGGAGAAGGTTCCTCACACTGAGGACAAGGCTCCTCACTCTGAAGACAAGGTTCCTCACGCTAAGAACAAGGTTCCTCACGCTGGAGACAAGGTTCCTCACGCTGAGGACAAGGTTCCTCACGCTGAGGACAAGGTTCCTCACACTGAGGACAAGGTTCCTCACGCTGAGGACAAGGTTCCTCACGCTGAGGACAAGGTTCCTCACGCTGAGGACAAGGTACCTCACACTGAGGACAAGGTTCCTCAAGCTGAGGACAAGGTTCCTCACGCTGAGGACAAGGTTCCTCATGCTGAGGACAAGGTTCCTCACGCTGAGGACAACGTACCTCACACTGAGGACAAGGTACCTCACACTGAGGACAAGGTTCCTCACCCTGAGGACAAGTCCTCACGCTGAGGACAAAGTACCTCACACTGAGGAGAAGGTACCTCACACTAAGGAAAATGTTCCATGCGCTGAGGACAACCTACCTCACAGTGGATGGTTGTCCAATACAGCAGCATTTCACGACTCGTTACAACTTGTAAGGAATATTTCACGAGTCGTGAAGGACTTAAGAGTGCACCCAGCCAAGTGGTGAACTTCACGAAATTCGTACGACTCTTTAAATCCCTGAAATTTCACGACTCGTTACAACTTGTAATGAATGTTTCACGAGTCGTGAAGGACTTAAGAGTGCACCCAGCCAAGTGGTGAACCTCACGAAATTCGTACGACTCGTTAATTAAATCCGTGAAATTTCACGACTCGTTACAACTTGTAAGGAATGTTTCACGAGTGGTGAAGGACTTAAGAGTGCAGGAGCCAAGTGGTGAACGTCACGAAATTCGTACGACTCGTTAAATCCGTGAAATATCACGACTCGTTACAACTTGTAATGAATGTTTCACGAGTCGTGAAGGACTTAAGAGTGCACCCAGCCAAGTGGAGAACTTCACGAAATTCGTACGACTCGTTAAATCCGTGAAATTTCACGACTCGTTACAACTTGTAATGAATGTTTCACGAGTGGTGAAGGACTTAAGAGTGCAGGAGCCAAGTGGTGAACTTCACGAAATTCGTACGACTTGTTAAATCCGTGAAATATTCACGACTCGTTACAACTTGTAAGGAATATTTCACGAGTCGTGAAGGACTTAAGAGTGCACCCAGCCAAGTGGTGAACTTCACGAAATTCGTACGACTCTTTAAATCCCTGAAATTTCACGACTCGTTACAACTTGTAATGAATGTTTCACGAGTCGTGAAGGACTTAAGAGTGCACCCAGCCAAGTGGTGAACCTCACGAAATTCGTACGACTCGTTAATTAAATCCGTGAAATTTCACGACTCGTTACAACTTGTAAGGAATGTTTCACGAGTGGTGAAGGACTTAAGAGTGCAGGAGCCAAGTGGTGAACGTCACGAAATTCGTACGACTCGTTAAATCCGTGAAATATCACGACTCGTTACAACTTGTAATGAATGTTTCACGAGTCGTGAAGGACTTAAGAGTGCACCCAGCCAAGTGGAGAACTTCACGAAATTCGTACGACTCGTTAAATCCGTGAAATATCACGACTCGTTACAACTTGTAATGAATGTTTCACGAGTGGTGAAGGACTTAAGAGTGCAGGAGCCAAGTGGTGAACTTCACGAAATTCGTACGACTCGTTAAATCCGTGAAATTTCACGACTCGTTACAACTTGTAATGAATGTTTCACGAGTCGTGAAGGACTTAAGAGTGCAGGAGCCAAGTGGTGAACATCGCGAAATTCGTACGACTCGTTAAATCCGTGAAATTTCACGACTCGTTACAACTTGTAATGAATGTTTCACGAGTCGTGAAGGACTTAAGACTGCACCCAGCCGAGTGGTGAACCTCACGAAATTCGTACGACTCGTTAAATCCGTGAAATTTCACGACTCGTTACAACTTGTAATGAATGTTTCACGAGTGGTGAAGGACTTAAGAGTGCGCCCAGCCAAGTGGTGAACCTGACGAAATTCGTACGA